GAAGACCCAAGCAGGGACACCGCCAGCATCTGGCAAGGACCCTGTCTCCTTGGTCAAGTGCTGACCTGGCGAGCCAGTTGGGACTCCAGAGAGAGTAGTACCCCATCAGATGTCTCTTGGGCCCATCCACGCCACGCCCTTCGCCCGACATGGCCCAGAGGAATCCACGTGGCGTTCCAGCCAGGGTTCCCCCTTGACGCGAAAGAGTACCACCCGCCGTTCGACGTCGGTCAAGAAGACCATTTCTCCTGTGGTCCCTGTGCATACTCCCTCTTGCCCAAATACCGAAGTCACCCTGGTTCTGGCTTTCAACTTGGCATCACCAGGTCATCGGACCTCATTTCTCCTGGTCCCTCTGCCCAGAATTCTGCAGTTTCCGTTGACCTCGACTTGGAACGCACCCCGGGCATTCCGCCTTTCGTGGCAGACTGCCACCTCTGCCACCGGGCTGCCTACCACCTGGGCTTCAAACCACCACAGCCCATCCATTGCTTGGGCTTTCAACTGGGCACGACCGGGTCATCGGACCGCTTTTCTCCTAGTCCCTTTCCCTGAAATTCTGCAGTTCCCGTTGACCTCAACTGGGAACACTCCCCGGGGGTTCCACCTCCCATGGCCCTGTCTCCTATATCTGCCGCCAAGTCACCTGCCACCATGAAAGACAAGCATGAGCACTCCTCTTCTTCATCAGATTCCTTGAAACCCAATAAGCAGCACCCCTTTGACCACCACGAACATACCTCTGTGGCTTGGATGTCAGCCTTCCAGTCCATCAATGAAGTTCTGACCTCCATCGTACGGAATTAGAACGCCACCTACTTCCTCCACTCTGGATCCGTTTCTGTTGGACCAGCCTCTTCCGCTTTCTCCGACCACGAGACATGATGACACTGGGCAGGGATCCACACCAGAATTGCACCAGCCAGGCGTTCTCCCGCAGGAGCAGGCCGCTCCCCATGGGACTGCACATGACTCGGAACGAGGCACTGCCCTGTCCCCATCCAGGCAACCAGCATTGTTTTCCAAGGAGGACAAACTTGATTCCATTAGCGGCCTCACTCCATCCGATTGCCGCCTCGGTCCTTAGCAAGTGCTCGGCCTGTCATCAGCCGCTCTCCCAAAGGAGGACATCAGTCACAGCGTGTTTAAATGGCACAGCATGACTGGAGTCTTCCGAGTAAATTTTTCCAAAACTCCCTCTCGATCGTTCATGCATGAAGATATTCTAGTCTCTAACCAGAACTTGGCACTTGTCTGAGTGTGCTCCAGCCTGATGCAGTCCTCCACTTAACCACCCGCCAATCTACGGGGCACCCCCGGCTCTTGACTATTGCATGGCCTTACTTCAGTCCAAACAGGTGACCATGTCTTTGGTTTAAGATGACATCTTTTTCATTGGCATCCTTACCCTTATGACATGTTCCAGATTCTCGGTCCTCCATCAGCCTCCCTTCCTGAGGAAGACACTGACCACACCCGTATCAGTCAATCGACTGCCCCACGTCTTCAGATACTCTTGCTACTGGGCTCCCAGGTGTGAAGTAGGCTCTTCCCTCTACCAGACCATTCCCCCTTTTGATCTGTAGTGGCCCAAGTGTATACAATGCCGGGCAACGCATGCCGTGTGTCTCCTTGTCACCTTCCCTTTATCTAGGGCCTTCCAGAAGAACGTCTCTGAGGCAACTACAGTGAAACACTATTATAACAAGATCCTTGGAACTTTACAAAGAACAAAAAATAATAATAATAGAAATTTTTCAAAAATATATTTCCTGGTTTAAATATGACCTTGTATTATCAATGTCCGTTTTATCTGTTTTCGACTATAAATGTATTGCAAAAGTCCATCGGGCTCCCTCCTCATATGAACATGAGCCATGGTCCCATCTATCGAGGTGGCCATTACCTGCAGATGCCACCTACTTGTAGCCTCCGACACATCTACAGCCTGGGCATCCAAATGTAATCCAGACAGTAGCACTTTCTGGGCCAACTTCCGGATTGCTGCCCCAGTGAATATGCCATCGGTATGCAGACCCAACCTCGAGTCTCTGTCACAGCCTTATGGGTAGGCCTAGCCAGGCCACTTGGAAGTGAGTCCACACCTTACCTGGTGATCTATAATGACCACTACAGGCCTAAACCTCCCAGCATTCGATACTACTTCACCAGGCATCCAGACAGAAACAAGCAAATAGCGTTTCCCGGGCAGCCTTCCAATCTTTTTTTAGCTCTGCCCTTGTGGATTTGCCATCATGATGTAGACCTACCGCTGTGTCTTTCCAGTCCACATCCCCAGGCATCCGAACCTAAATGATCTTTAAGTCATTGGGGGTTTTACACGCCCCTTGGCACCCCATAATCTGGAGTTTTCTCAAGGGGAATTGAGGCACCGGTAGCTGACATGGCTTACTTTCAATTTGACATGAACGTCCTCAATACCCTTCTGCATATTCTGGAGCTGTACACGGCCTCTATAAAGACAACTTTTATATTACTTTTATATACTTTTATAGCAAGCCTTCCATTAGGAACTCCTTGCTCAATAAAGACTGACACCGACTTTATCTAGGTTACATAAAGTTTTTGTCTTGATCTGTGACCTATTTCATCTCTTTCCCTCTTATTGAAGTAAATTCCTGGGATGTGAAAAGAGAGTTCTTCTTTCCGTCTCGGGTGCCCTTATTTGAATTATCTTGAAGGAAAGCCCTCTATAACTTGCAGTCAGATTTGAATACGTCAGGCCACCCCAATTGTGTACAATAATATTTATTTCTATATACCTGATGGTCAAACAGTTAATTTCCATGTGAGTTCCAGTGAGCCATTACTCTTGCCATGATAGCCCCCTTTTCTGTGTATTTAAACAGTATCAGACTTGCTTTTTAAGCTGTCCACACCCCCTTCCCCCCGTAACATTGAATCTCGTGTTCAAGCGAAAATTCGTACTTTATACTCATACTTGCATTTCTGTTAGGTGTAACATCCCTTGCGACCGTCATTTAGAAACTTTGACGCCCCTCATCAAGTAGATGGATCCCTTTCCTGACCTGTAATCCCCGCTTCTGATGATGTACATGTACTGATCTCCCTGCTGATATTCCTCACCTTCCCTTGGAAGCTTTTCGTCCATTTCCTCCCCCTCCCCCGACTTTCAGGATTCTTCCTCAGTACTTTCAGTTTCCTGAGCATTGACCCCAAGCTGTGATCTTTTCCCTGAAAGCTTTCAATCGACTTTTGAGGTGCTGTTTACCACACTGTGGTATTTTATCAATCAAGCAAAGGAATTATGATGCGAGCCGAGCATAACCCACACACATGCATGTAGCTGGCAATTGGCAAGGGATGCACATTGAATTGGCTCTATCCATAGCATGTGTGAAAATACATAGGGAGATATATTAATGGCCTTAATTGCAAGGGTGATGGATCCAGGGATGGGGGAGATTAAGGGAGTGTCTCTATGTGTCCTTTTGTGGCATTTTTTACTTGCTTTGGGAGGGAAATCATCCCCCAGTCTATTTTTGTCATTATACATGTACTTCAGAAACTTACAAATAGAGACCTACATTTAATTTTGGAGGGTGGCATGGCCCCTTGGATCCACCAATGTGTCCATGTACATGCATGCACTCCATGGACCTATACTGGTACAAACAGTACATGCTTGACAGACAAATGTAAAAGTTAGCCACCGCTACTTTTATTACATAAAGATGTTACAAATTGTGTGCACATTCTGATGAAATGTTTCCATAGTACTCTCCACCATTCCGCATGGAACCTGTGTGGGCATGTGAGCATATTACTCATGTTGCCCCTGTGAATAGTTGCTCAGTGCCGTGTACATGTACTACTGTTCATGCAGGGAGTCTGTAGCCAAAAAGTGTACATTTATAGCAAATGGTATAATTGGGCAGTTTTTGTTTTGGTGCTGTTCTTCCACTGGAGCAAAACTGAAAAATACAAAAAATGGAAAAAGAAAAGGAAAGGGGAGAAGCTGACAAGGAGGAAAGGGGATGAAAATTACTCATTGGTTTGAAAATACATCTGAATGGACACCCTTCTGCTGTTGATGAGTACTCAGAAACCTCCCTCCCCTATCCTTACACAATACCCATCACGACAAACTCCCACAAACTAAAGGAAAATTTTCACTGATTTTTTTAATGTACATGTATGGTTTGAAAGAGCAACTCATCTCTGATCCTGATAAAATGCAAATGTCATGTGAGTGCCACATTGTTAATATGCAGTTTTCACTGCTTTCTCATAAGTATCTCATTTTGTTGAGGTAAGTTTATACACATTTGTACTTTATAGGTCTTTCAGGAAACTGAGCCTAGAGGTTAAGATTTTGCCCGTCTTCAAGGCATGATCAACACAGCATATATTTGAATCAGTCTGTGAAGTTGAGGAACATGTGGGAATATGTCGACATTTTTTACATTGTGGTTCAAACAGAATCAACCCAAGTTTAAGGTGATTGTTCACTTCCTGAAATTCCTGACACTTGGCTTACCTTTCTGAGCCACCCTGCAGGTGAGGTATGTGGGGCCACTCTATAAAAAATGTCTGTTTCAAAAAGTGTTATATTAAGGGTCAATTGACCGATTTTATAAAATCACTAAGACCTCACATTAAATTTCCAAATACTAGGAATCATGGGTTGGGGTTTCTGCTGTGTATTTGGAGGAAATTGGCATACAAACATTGAACTTAAAAAATGGCGTGGTGTCGCTACAGTACATTCACAGATTTTATTTTAAATGTCATAATGCCCTGAAATATTTCAGAATGACTACAATAGCCACAACCAATGCTATAACTAACTGAGAAAGTAATCTCAATGACCCCTTATGCCTCATCTGAAAAAAAATGCCCAAATTTCCTGACACATTCCTCAACTTTGTGGACTGGCGCATTTCAGAATTAGTGCACTATGTACATGGACAAGCTTTTTTTAATATGTTGTTTGGTTTTGATTTGTCTATCGGCAGGGCTTTGCTCCACACATCTCCCCGTTCACAGACATGCAAGATCTTGGTAATCTACTGACAAGAGCTGGGTTCAGCATGCTGACAATCGTAGGTATTAATTGTTACCACTGGTAAAGAACCTGTATTCGGATAGGCCCAGTGCAGATGTTGTGCTGTAACTGCCATAGACTTGCGTCCACTGCTCATGTGACCCAAAAGTTGCCACCAAACAGTTTCATTAGTTACTTTTTTTTTCATTATTTTTACGCATAGGGCGCATACTTCCCAACTCAACACAAGAAGCAAATCATTTGCCTAGCCATAGATCAAATGCTCAGACCTCTAAACAACATAGACTACTACAGTACAAACCTTTTATTTTGAATGACGTGATTGGCCCATCCGTTTGCATGGGCTTGGAATTGACCAATGGGAATGATAGCTTTTTTTAATTTCTAGACCATCACTTTTTCAGATGATGTTCCTTTTGAAACAATTGAAGAAATGGTGAAAAATAATGCAAGAAGTGTTATTAAAGAAATGATTAATGAAAAATACCCTCAAGTGTTTTCAAAACTTTTCAGCCACTCGATCGTTTATGACTTTCCATTCTCATGGCCCAAGGGTCAAACTTTAGCAAGTGCAGCGGTTGTGTTTGGTAACAATTTAATGCTTCAGTGACATTTGCACATACGTGCTTAGTACCCATGGATGAATGACAGTGCGTACAATATTTTGTATTCATCGCCGCACGTGTAGCGTTGCCTCATCACTACCATTCAGAACAGCTGTGGCACAGCAAACTGTTGAGCCAAAGGATGTTGTCATGCCAAATTCTGTGCATGTACAAGCCAGATGATTCACCTCCTGCTGTCCCAAATTTTCAAATCAAATTAGATGTATTTGGGTTTGGCGTGTGGGGTTAGCATTTGTATCCAGACCAGGCCCACATGGGTTTTGCCTTGCAGATTTTAGCCTAATTAGCTTGCAAGGGTACAGTTGTGGCTGTCTAATTCTCAGTCATGCTCGTAAGTTTGGCTCTGACACTTTGGCTGTGGTCCCTACCATTGTTTATTACAAAAGCTCAGGTAGTTGAGACCAGTACATGTTCATGCGGCTCTTAATGATTTTTATGGTTGTTCCGCCAATCCTGGGTTTTCTTTTTTTATTTTAATATTTTTTAAATTTATTTTTAATTCTATTTGTGATCAGAAATCTGATTCAAAGTGTTTGGCTTAGTCATTTCCAATGCCACACTAGGCATTAGTCTGCTATCCATTCCTATTCAACAACTACATTATGCAGGTTTGTGTTAGTGCATTTGTATGTGTATGAAAGCATGTTTAGGATAGTGCACAGGCCTTGGTCTTTGCAAAATATGCTGCTTAACTTGTTTTATGCGTCAAATTTGGTTGTGAAGTTTGTCTGTTAATTTAGAGATTTGGAAAGTAATTTATGATTTATGTCAGGACATTTTACGTCACAGCCTATTTTACACTGTCAATAGACCCTATGCCATCCTTGTCCTCTTCTTGAAGAGGACAGCAGTTTTATGAGGAGCACGTCTGTTATAAAAACACTGATATTTTGAGAGTGAAGTGGTAGGCATACTCCCAGCGCACGTTCCCAAACTACCCATGTAACTGGATTCGGACATCAAATCTGCAGTCGTTTGTTGTTTTCTTGTCAAACAAGGGTTAGAAAAATGGGTCAATACTTCATCGTCGTCTCCTTGTCCCCGTTTGCAGGGATTTGCTTTTCTGAACAGTGTACACAAACTGTTCGCTCAGATAGGGTATTAGGTTTCTCTGGTATTGCTCTGAAGGAAAGGAGGTCCACATTGCTCTGCTTGTTAATGGCCATTTGATGAAGTTAATTGCCCGGGTTTGCTCGTATGCCACAGTGAGCTGCCATGGATCATTTTGCAAAAGACCACAGGTTTGCGTGCCACTAGGTCTTTGCGGTTCTCTGCCAGAGTCAAATAAAACTGATTCCTAATATTTGCAGTCGGAATCGAGAAAGTTCACTTTCTTTAAAGTTGATTCTATGTGGTAACTGTAGGTTTCCTTGAGAATCAATTCTTGGCAGGTCCTGACAGTGAGAGACATGAAAGCCAACTCCATCATCTTTAAAAAAACAAAACAAAACTAGAAAGTGTGGGGAGCATTAGATTACAGTATTGATATAGAGAGAGAACTGAAACGGTATGCACACCACGTCACATCATGTCCACGGAGACTGTGAGTCCAGAATGACTGTTATTTTAAGGCATGTTTGAGAGAGCCATTTCACCTCAAAGTGTTCTTGCGTAAGTGAATTCTACCGCTTATTGTGTGGACTTTATAGCAATTGCCCCCTTCTTGGTGGAGAAATCTGAAGTTGGTTGCAGACAGAATGGTGACACCTCTATGGATTCAGAAGCAAAGCCGCATACATGTGTTTGCAGTTGCCAAGCACATGGTACATTTACATGTACAGGACATAACTGTCCCAGTTTGTTCATGTACTTCATCCCCACCACTTGTACAGGCCAAGCCTGGGTACCATGTCAAAAGTGCCTCAGCAGTATCTTTTTTATTGATAGTATCTGCCTCTGTGTTCAAGATTCACAACTGCTGAATTAAAAATCCCCCTTATGACTACCATAGTTTGTTTCCATTTTCCAGTTTATGTGTATAGATTTCCCCTTTTTATTCAAACAGTTCTCTTTTTTCTTTGAAGCACATTTTCTTGTGGGATATGAAATTGCATCTTAGCCTACTTTGCTGATTTGCTGACAAAAGGGCCATAAGTCCAGGCCTCGTGTCATGGGCACTGATGGAGATCAACTGAGATGGGAGTTGACCCAGTGATTAAGTGATGAGAGACTTAGCTTCCTCAGGAACTAACTGAGATGTAATGGATGGACACGATGAGTTGTGTTCAAATCCTGGGCCCTCCAGATTAATCACTGCACCAACAACACTGCTCTTCAAACACAGTGCTCCAGATAAATTAGACTTAATCGTGGAAACCGAACCACCTGAACTTTCATCAGTGAAATGCATCCCCCCCAATTAAGACCTTCTGCACTCAGCCGGTGCTTAATTCCCACATTCAAGAATACATGACAGATTTTTTTTGTTGGGGGGGGTGGTCTTTGGTAATGTAAAGATGTACAGTGCACGATTCTAAGTAACTGCACGTATACGTGCACAACAGTTGGTGAACTTTGCCTTTAATTAAAACACGTCCCAGACACATGTGATCAATGGAGTTGGCAGCTGTGCATATTTGTAATCAGCATGTGATCTCTTTTTTATCGTTAACATCAACTGAAAAAGTCAGCAAGCCGTGTACATGTGCAGTTTTGTGTTGCTGGTGTATGTTCTTATTCCCCAGAGGTTTAACTCAAGTGTAGCAGGAAGAAAATGCAAAAGGGTCACCTGTATGCACATGTAACGCATCACTGGCAGCATGTTGAGAGTCCTCAGACAACTTGAATCATGAGGCTGGACCATTCATGGCCATGTATATACTGTACACGTACTTGTGTGCACACTTGTAGGATGTCTTCAGGGTGGTCATGTAGTCCTCATCAGTGTAGTGGCCAAGGAATTCGTCAATTATATGAGTATCTGTAGCTGGTACAGTGATTCCAAGAACTCCAGTAGAAAATTCTCATTTGCTTTCTGATAAATAAATTTCAACCGAATTCTTCTGCTGCATTTTTTTTAGAAAACCGTAATTCACCCACCATCACTCCACTCGAGTGAAGACCTGCATGGAGGGGATCTTGGATGTTTGCCAATTCTCACGTGTACCATCACCCCCTTGTGCTCCAAATACTGGAGTGTGGTTGCCATAGCATTTCTGGTATTTCATTTTATCAACCCATCTCCCTCCACACGGAAAACAAAAGTATTACAGGCCTGTCTAATTGCTGGAGCAGACATCGGAAATTGTGAGATGGAGCCTCATTGCACTCGAGATGGCGTTCCAAAGGTCACAGCAATTTTGAGTATAATTGTGGAATAAACCTTTTCACATTTGAGAGAGATGCATGGTAGCATCCTTGTATGTTGTATTGCAAGAAATCAATAATAGTAAAAAAAAAAAACGAGTGGAAGAAATCTTACATAGAACATAGTGGTGTTTGGTTGAGGTTTGGAGGGAAATCGATTTGCCCTTACCTCTCCCCCCGCTGTTATTTGAAGGGATTTGCTGTCCAGACTGGCTATTAGAGCAATGACTAACGCATCTCTATGTCTGTAATGATTCCAATATTGTGTGGATGACCCGCTGTGACTTCAAACAGCTTTGCACAGTAAAGGAAGGGTCAGGATCTGTTGTGTGTACATGAAATTTGCATGATTTGTGCACCACACAGTGCAGGGTGGTGTTAATAACCTTGTCTTACCAGTGAGTCCGGAACTAAGGTAGACATGTCAACAAGAATTGAATATCGGAATGCAGAATTGCTAGTATTAGAAAAATTTAACTCAATTTCATACCAGCTTGCATGGCAAACTGGGTTTGCTGTTAATCCTTTTGAAGAGATATTGCGTGTGAATTGAAGGGTCCTTAGAGCAATGAATTTTTCTTGCACAGGTGTTTTGTGCAACTTGGCACTTTTGTCCTTTGTGTGAAAATTACTTTGACATCTCCTTCCGTTAAGTGCATTGAAAAGTGAACTTTCTTAGACATTGCAAATTGTCCATACCTTTCTGAAGAACAGAGGGCACTGTTGCTTTGATTTCAAATCGGGGAAGACACTATTCATTTTACAGGTGTTTCTATTTCAATTAGGAAACCAAAATGTGCTTATTGAATTTCTTTCTGGGAAAGGGCTGCTCATTGATTTATTGCCATGGACTTACCCAACGCTGTATTACCAAGAAAAGGAAATTAAGCCTAGTGAATATAGCAAAATTTAAACTAATCTATTCTAATCTATACCAGGATGAAGTACATGTACGTATAGAAACAGTCCAGCCAGTGGACTGTGCCGTATTTGCATTGTGTCATGCTTTTTTAAGCTTTTCATTTAATGACCGTGAGTGCACAAGGTCTACTCTTGCATTTTGTTGTAAAATAAATGCAAAATAAAAACCTCAAGGTCTAGTCCA